TATTCAACAACAAAATGTATGACCATCTTGAACAAGGTGTTAATTTTTTATTTTACATAGGCTGTCTGCAATTTTAAAGTTATTTTTCATTGTATTTAGAGAACTATTTTACCTAAAAGTTTTGTATTTAAATATCTTTTTGATATCCTTTATTCCTCACTATGTTTCTACACGTAATTTCCAAGACAAGTCTTATTTGGTATCGGAAGGGATATTTGATCCCATTCCTCTTGAACAGCTTTCAAGAGGAACAAAAAGGGTCATAGGTTGAGGTTTGGACAATCCGCGTTTTAGACGTCCAAAATGTAAAATTCCATGGGTGATGCATTCGGAAATTTAGTAGAGGTATGAGTGAAGGGTATGGCCTTGATACTTGTTTCTTTTATTCAGTTTTTTCCCAGGAAATTAACAATGGATTTTGACGTGTGGCTGCTTGCTTTGCCTTGATGCAGTTCTACTGATTGATGGGACTGTGGCTAAACAGAAGGGATTTCATATTTGAAAATTGGGTATCAAATATGCTCCTACTAATATGTAGAGTTCAGCTCTACAATTTCTCTGCTAGCTTTATTTTTAATTTGCTCTTAAAAACCAGCAGCAATCAAAATACCACTGAAAAGGTTTCTTTAGAGTCTTTGAACCATATTTTAAGATATTTTTCTCCTCTTTGGTGATAATAAATGAATCTCCTTTTATTGAAGTAATTTAAATATACCCAAGATTCTTCAACTGTGACAAGATTCTTCAATTGTAACAAGATTTTTCCCTTTTTGTTCGAATAAATGTTTCATATAAAGAATTCTGCAGGGCGTTCTGTGTTCGGCGCTGTGTCGTGGAAAGTGACGATGTACATTATGTTTTTTTTTTTTTTTTTTTTTTTTTTTCCTTTTTAAGATTCAAATCAGAAATAATAATTTTGTTTTCAGTTGACACTAAGCATTTTAATGATTTTGCAACTGTCCTTTGACTTGAAACAGATTAAGGTAGTTTCTTGTAAGATTAAAGGTATTACCTTTGCAACATTCGAAACATTCCGCTTTTTTTTCCCTTCGATATGTATTTTCAATAATTCTTTCATTTGAAGACAAACTTTGATGTTTATTTTTTTTTCAATTTGTTGATAATATTACCTATCCTAGCTTTAGATATCGAAAAACACAACACACAACTTTCTTTCTTGGCTTTCTCTCTTCTTCAACTTGGCTTTCACAACCTAACAGTAAATACTTATAAATTTTGTAATAACTAGATATAAATAATTTTCTTCGGAAAGAGAACAAACATAGCTTTCCATCTGTTATTTCTTTAACGCCATTTTGCATGAAAGCGAAACAGTCAAGTAGAAGACTATAATTAATACTTTCAAAAATACAGGTGCAGTTAAAAAAATTTAAGGCAGAAGATTTTTTTTAATAGCAAAGCAAAATCGTCTGAAAAATATGCGAACTGCCTCCGTAACACCTTAATTCGTATTCAAGAATAATATCTAAAGTAATTATTTTCTCTTTTAATATTTATGCATATTTCGTACGAATTATTTACCTTTAACAAAATATTTTTCTTTAAATTTAAAGCTCATGAATTGTAAATACACTCTGCTAAAATGTGACTTTTGCTTAACAGATTATGAAGAAGTACAGATATACTACATAAGCTGTCTACGGTTGGCTGGTTATTTGAATATTGCAAAGCAAACAAGGGCTATCTGGTTACAATGAGGGGTGCTTTCGGAGGACTTTCCAACGGAAACAGATTCGTATTCGTGTTACACACGTTGAAAAAGACGAAAAACAATCACGCAACCAACCCATTTGCCTGGTTCGAACCTAAGATGAATTACCAGAATTCAGCAGTCTTTAATCGGTCTGCCTCTGGTGAAGCCCTTCTAGCTAAGTAAGGGATGCCTTCCTGGAAGATTTTCCGTAGGAAACTAGCTCGTATTTAGATTATGCGGGAATAAAAGTAACTAAAATACAGGATTATCGAAAATTACAAGGATTACAAAATGTTATTACACCAAATTAACTCATAGAAATGACTTAGTAGTCAAAGCGTGACGAAACAGATCAGATTTTATGTATGTGGGATTCATATAAGAATTATAATTTCTTCAACTCATCACTTGAGAAAAGTACGCCAATTAGATCTTATTTTTCTCGAAAGGTCTGATTTTATTCAACTTCGCTTAAGGTTGAAATAATGTTGTCTAACCGAACCCACCAGTAGCCGAGCGGTAAAATCGCTGAACACGGCTAGTTCGGTTCGAGGCTCCATTCCAAGTGAATGTGCTGATATGGATATTTCCATGCGTGGGCGTTTTTGTGGTTTTCCTTCTGTATAATATGCATACGAGCCAGATTCCCGGAGAAAGTCATCCACGAAGGCATCCTTCCTCTTATGTAGATAGCCCTCGAGTGTTTTGCTATAATCAAATAAACCAAACCAAAATAATGCTGTCTTACCTTGATAGGCCTATTTTAATAAACTGTGAATGATGCATATGATGACAAAATTCGCAATCATTAGTAGGTAAGGAATAAAACAATCATCGCAACTGTATCTCCACATTTAAAAAAGGCTAGAATTAGATGTAAGAAAGTTTCAAAATCCGTCTTACGATTATAAAAGTGCAAAACACTGAAAACAAAGCTTTCCGATATTTTTTTTAGCGATCCGATTTTTTGAGCCAATTTCGATATAATTAACAATGCTCGAGGTCTTTTAACTCTTAGAATGTGTGTCTAGAGCGGTTTTATAACTGAACATTAAAACAAGTTTTAATTTGTGAGTATTGGCTGTATTATAAAGAAAATTTCGTCTATTTCTTGGTATTCATTGTAAGAGAGTTCTCAAACAGATTTTAATTCAAGTTTATTGTCACACAGATTTACTTAGCTAAAATGGAATAATTGTAATGAGAAATAATGGTGAAAACAAACGTTTGTCAAACCGCTACTACTTTACAATCTGACGTACTTTTAATTTAAAATATCTATTTTATTATTTTTTTTAAGTTTCTGATAAAGCTCTAGAGAAAAAAATTGTTTTTTTTTTTTTTTTTAATTCTAGCCTTAAGCATAAACACTTACAATAGTAAAGCTCCTATATCAGTAACAACCTATTTTATATTGTAACAAGACTTGCCAGTCCATTTATTAAAGTGACCTTGTTCAGAGATAAAACTATGACATAAGATTCTCTTTTTGCAGTTAGAATGAAAGCAATTCATTAAAGAAGTTAAAAAGAAAGCTAGACTCATCCTTCAGAGCATATGAACGTCTGTAAGATGTCGAAAAATTCGTGCTCTTGAACCTGTTAAACGAGACAGTCCAACAAATAAAAAACGAAGAGTTTCTATCTTAAAAGTCAAGATAAATACTTTCTTACACATAAGCATGATATGTATACTAATATAAATCAAAATCAATTTTTCTTAACGTCTCTTATCTACTTAATGTTGATGTGTACAGTAAATATTGCTTACATTATTGAAGTTATACTTAATTTCAGCTGAGAACTTGAATTTAAAATAGTTTTTCGGTAAATCAACAGCAGCAACACAAAAGAAGCGTGTACAGGTAACATCATTTCATTTTAAGCTGAAAATAAAACCTGCTGTTGCAAGTAAATAAAATCTGGTTTTAACTGTTTAAGTATAATTAGAGATTCAGATTTACGCTGGCCGAAAAAAAATTAAATGAACGACTGGAAAAGTTCATGTACAGCTAAGAATAAAAGATCGTTCTTTTTTTCATGTCTGACATATCTCCAAAATTGCTTACTTAAAAATAATATAAATAAAAAAACACCTCAAAATAGAAATAGAAGTAAAATAATTAAATAAAAATAAATAAATGAACAAGAATTATCGAAAAAAAGAAGAAAAAAAATCTGAAATGTTTCAGATTTTAAATTACGTCTAAAGGGGCGTTTTTTAACATTTTGTGTGTTACTTTTCTTTATTAAACATCATGTTCTTAGCACTTAAACCATAAGATCCAGTTCAACAGCAATATCGCAAAATGAGCATATCTTTAGAATTTCCGATACAGAGACTCACGCGCTTGGAGATAAAAATGTTTTTTCTGCACAACGTTGCCATTGCTCGCTTTGAAATCCTTGAGTTTGTTAATCAAAAATTCGTCAAAGTTTTAAAAAATAGGAAATCGATCATAAAACAAATTTCAAATTTCAAATTTGGTCTTCCACATGCTCATATTCGTTGGAGGATTACGTTATTCAAAATTCGATGACTCTATGTACCGTTATTTTATGACAATGCGAGAAATATACATACATTTACGCAGATTTTTTATTTTAATTTCTTCAAATATAATGCAGGACTCTAACATTTTATGGCAACAGTTTGAAAAGTGAACCGACATTTATAGAAGTCTGACGCAAAATGCCAAAAAGAAAGTAATAGTCCTTCTGGGCAAATTTGTCCCTTTTGGGCTAAAAAAAAATCTGAAAAGTTTCAGATTTTAAAGTTTTTTTTTTTTTTTTTTTTTCCTTTTTTACGCTCTACTTCATCTTGCAGACTGCCAGACAACTTTTGCACCTATTTCTAACAACCCACTTTTTTACCTTTTGTCTTTTTAGCTTTATTATTAAGCATTCTTTTCTTCGCACTTGCGCTACATAGAGTTCCACAATAAAATCGCAAAACTGTTAAAAGCTGCATGGCAACATATATTTAGAATTACCGACGTAGTGTTAAGGGTTGCCATAGCATTTATATATTTTTTTAGGCTTTGTTATATTCATCATGTCAATATTCAGTTTTCTTAGTAAGATAGGCAACAAGAACTTTTTTGTCTTTTGTGTTAACTTTATTTTTTTAAATATCACATTCTTGGCAGGTTCACTACATAAAATTCAATTCAGCAGCAAACTCATAAAACATATAAAAAACAACATACCTTTAGAATGCCCGTTGGAATGTCACAGGTTGCCATACATATCTTTATTTTCGATGTAATACTTTCTTAAAACTTAGGTGCTGTGGCAGCCAGGTACCTAAAATCGTTATCATTAAAAGGGAAAAGTATATAATAATTTTAATGCGTCCAGCTAGTGTAATTAGTATAATTTCATGAAAATATTGAATATTTCTAATTAGGCATCTTGTGATTTTAATACATGTTTATTTAAATCAATCACATAAAAACTAGAAGAAAATATTCTTAAGACCAGTGTTTATTGCTTTTAAAGTGCTTAAATTTTTATTCAATAAACTTTCAGATTAAAAGTAGTTTTTCTGTTAGATAGACAACATGCGTGGAAGATAAGAGTATTTTATTTCCGGCCGAGGCAACACATTGCTTTCATAGAATCAAGAGTCTCAATTAAAACTTAAAGACATTTTACATTTTTTTTTTTTTTTTTTGAATGGCAAAAGTCTCGCGGACTGCAGATAAAAATGTTTTATTTCAAATTGTGTTGCCACTGCTCGCTTTCAGATCGTTGAGTTTATTAATAAAAATTCATTAATGTTTAATAAAATATGAAATGAATAATAAAACAGCCTCGAAATTCAAGATTCGGCCTGACAAAGGCACATATTCGGAGAGAGGATTACGTTATTCAAACTTTGATGGCTCTAGGCAGCGTCGTTTTTGCCGCCCAAGCAGGACAGTGGTTAGTGACACTGACTGCCGTACCGTAGGTCCCAAGTTTGAACTCCGGAGAAGACGTGGATGTTTGCAAATGTATAGTGTCTGTGCAACTCTGGAGAGGTTGCTGATAGGAAAAGAGGGATTGAAGACCCTCAGAGCTGCCCCCTGTGTGCTCCCTTCAAATTTGGGGGGGGGGTGAGCAAAATCTGACTGTCCCCTGTATGGTGCCGCAGGCTTTTGCCAACGACAGGAGCAATCTTTGCTCCTTGAAACGATGAATTTCGTGGGCTTAATCCGACTCAGACAAGATAGATGAGTAACAACAACAACAACAACCGTCGTTTTTTCATAATGCGCAAAGACGTACATACATACATGCAGATTCTTCATTATTTAATTTCTTTAAAAACAATACAAGACGATAATATTCGTTTAGCAAAAATTTCGTTGACAAATAACGGTCCTGAGAGTCCGTGGAAACACGTTTTTCGATCTTGGCATGGTTGTCTGCATACATCACATAGTGTTAAAACCCTTTCTAGATTTTCTGGAATGGTATTTTTGGTTACTTTTAGGTGGTTACAGATATATATTAATGTCTTTCTGCTTTCATTATTCCACTCGTATGCCATTTCTCCCAATCCATCAACTTCCACATGCGAAAAGTTGATCCAGCTACTCGCACAATCCTTAAATTTAGAATCTAAAGCAACTCTTGCACTCCTTTCCATACGTGCGAAAGAATGAGAGTTAAAATTTGCACATTTCTTTGTAGTGAAGGGTAATTCTATTGGACTGTGTGGTAAGGTTGAGCTACCAACCAATTGAATTTCACTTAATAGAATTAACAGAAAGTACCCTTTTATAGTTGTCCTTTATTTTTTTCCGCCAGCGTATTACATTATAACATAGCTGGCGAACGTTTTCAAGAAACTGGCTCGTATTCACCTTGCTCATGGGGAAAACCACGAACTACGAAGCTTCACTTTCTCTCATGCTAGGATGCAATTAAGCGCACCCACTCGGCGTCACTTGTCTTTCTACCTCGTGTATTTTGCATGACTTTCTACAATGCATGCACTGTTTGAAACCATAAACGACAGAAATCAAAATTAAAGCTGGTAAAATTCTGGTTAATACCTTAACTATACCTAATAATTTTGTCTCATCCAAGCTTTATAATTAAGGTCTACCGCTTTGTTGGTACGTTGGTTGAAGAGCTGGCTGCCGTAGACCTGAATCCCGTTTTCAAATTGGAAGAAAGCATGGACATCTGTGACTGCATAAATGTCTCTGAGAGGTTTGTTGTTGGTAAAGATGGGTAAAATGCTTTCGGAACCGTTCCCCGGAGGATTATCCTACAAATTTGGAACGAAGGTCATCAAATTAGCATAGTTATGTTTAAGATGCCCAAGAATTAAACCAGTGACAGGCTTAACCCTTGTATCCTTTGTTACGATAAAATCCGTGGACTTGTCCCTTGGATTTTGATGTTTATGATCCGACAAATGAGATAAGTCACAACAACAATTTAGTCCACTCGTAAAATTAGGTTCTCGATTTTTTTTCAACAGTATAGACTATTGCATAACAGATAGCGTAAAATGTAGATTTCTCGCAAATTTAAATTATCTTTAGTAAATGATTAGTCTTGTTAAATTTGTTCTTTTATTGCATGAACGAAAATTAAACAAGTGGGCATACTGACTTCGAGTGTTTCCATAAATAATAACATTTACGGTGAATTCTCATCTTCTTCATTTCATCTTAAAGAGCGCATATAGATTTTAAACTAACTTTTTAGTTTTGTTCTATCTCACTCTGGATGTAAAGTCATGTAATCTCTGAATCCCTGACTAGCAGTTCAAACTATCGCAGACAAAATTTCATGAGAAAAAAAGGCCAAGGTGTAAAGGACTGTTGATAATTGCCTACATTTTTACAATAGCTTTCAGGGGTGTTACTTCGTTTTTCTACGTGTGCAAGAGGCCCTCCAAGATGGCTAGGAAGGCATAAAAAGGGAGGACGGGAAATAGTTCTTGCACATTGCCCTAAATAACTCTTAATTCTTGTGCAAGTGACAAGGTGAATACACACAGTGAATCTAAATGGTCTTTAAATGTTGTCCTTTTTTTTTTTGTTATTTCATAAGTACAGCATAGGATGTACAATTTTACTTTATATGTTTCTTTGAAGTACTTTTTTTTATTTATAATGGAAGCTAAGCGAGACTTTTGTTGAATTCGCTTCGGCTCAAAATAAGTACAATTATTAAAAAATTCTCATTCTGTATCAGCTGTTTTTATTTAATAATGCCAAGTGCCAGAAATTGTTACTTATTCATTAATAATTTCTCCACTGCTTACTATTAAATAAAATACCAATAATAAACATATTTCTATTAAACCTTTTAGAAAAGCGTTTTTAGTTTCATAAGAGGATTTCATACTAGAGAAATAAACGAGTATTGTTACTTGGAAGGTATATTTACTATGCAGCAAGCTTTGCGAGCAAGCGATTCAGAGAAATAAATGCACAACTACGGCCCACTTGATATTAATTTGATCTAAAATAAAATGTAAATTGTAGAATATAAAGTATAATGTAAAAAATCTAAAATATAATTTGGGGATTGCAATTTCTTTTTCATCTTTTTTATATATTATTATTTTTATATATTTATATTTTTATGTTATTATTTTTATATATTTATATTTTATATACTTATATTTTATGTTTTTTAAACAATCTGTTTTATTAACGTATTTAAATTGTAATGTTAACTATAATCTGAAATTTCCAAATGCTTATTTTCTAAACTTGTTCAGAGCTGAAAGAACGCTTAATAATATAAACATCGCAGCTTATATTTAAAAAAATTATCTAATACAATTTTAATATACATTTGAAGAAAAACCTTAAATTGAGGGAAAGGACAGACTTCACTTTTTTACTATCTTATCATTAATAAAATCTCAAGTTTATAAACTTTAGATTCAATAAAATGCGCTTAAAAACAAATTTGAACAACAAGTAAAAGCATAGTTGATTTTGATCGACGTTTAGATACAATGGTACTTATTCATTTTATGAAAAAATTCGACTTTCCGACTTTTCGAAGCTGCAGACGTGAAAAATGAGCTGTACCTTCATAATGATTCGAACTTCGGACCTTCCAGTTGCTAGTTGGATGTGCTATCCAGTTACAGCACGAAGGAACGCGGTTAAGGAGGGAGAAAACTTACAACACTAAACATCCTAATTAAATCTTTTGTGCGCAAAGTTTTTCTTTAGCAATAGCTGCAAGGTCTTTAGGTATTATTATTATTTAGTTAAAGCAAGCACAGAGTTACGTTAGGTTAAAATAAGGATATTTGGTTATGTCAAAGCACATTAAAGCTATCTGTCCTAAGCACAGGACTTTCTAAGGGAAAGTGGATTTTATTCATGTAACACATATGGAAAAGCATAAAAAGTTTGATTATATTCCAAGGTGGATGGGGAGAGAAAAGAAAATGGGTTAGCAGGAGTGAGTATCACAGCAGATTGGTGGACTGGCAAGCTCAGCCAGAGGGTAGAAAAGCCTAAATAAACCAATTTGGGCGACCGTTAAAAACCTGAGCAGTTTCAGATTTTTCTCTTCTTTTCTGTTTTGTTTTTATTTATGTGGTTTTTATAATATTAATCGATCATTCAAATACATGCTTTTTGAATTAATAACCCCAACAATTTCCTTAATTTTATTTAAAATCTTTATCAACTTATCCTAATAGCAAGTTACCACATGTCAAACATGAGCCTTGCTCGAGCTGTTTCGAGGTCAATAAATTTTTAAAAAAACCCTCAGACAAATCATACGAGCTTCAAATCTTTTAAAGATAAGCCATAAGGTTATAAACATGGTCACCTTTTTATTCTGTCTTCTTACCATGAAACCTTAGAATAGGTCATTATTTATCTTCATGCGACACCCTTGCGTGATAATACTTTTTTTCAATAAAGCGAGGACATGAAGAAGTTGAGGTAAGTTAAAAAAAATGCCATCATAAAAATACTTTGATAAATTTGCCTGCTGTTATAGTTAACGAACTGAGGATAGGCACGTATCAGTACGTCTCTCCAGCATATTAATGTCAGTCACGAAATCTTGACTTTGTCAATGATAAGAAATCCATTAGCAATTTGTTTCTTGTTAAGAGATGTTTAGTGCTTTATGTTTACTCCTGTTTATGTAAAAGAATTCATGACTGCTGATTAAAATTTCTTCATTATAACAAATCACCAAGAAAGATATATAATGTTTCGAGTTACCACTGTAAAAATGTGTGCTGCGGTTTTTTTTTTTCCTCTTGGCGGTCCAGTGCGATAGTATAAGTGGCACGCGCTGTGTTCTTAAATTCG